CATCACTCTGGGTCCCAGAATGCTGATATGGAGCAGAGCTGTATCCAACCCTTCAAGGATACACAGAATGAGTAAAAAATAAACGTTTCTTTTCCAGGACAACTGGTAATGTTCCAAAGAGAAGCTGTTCCATCACTCTGGGTCCCAGAATGTTGATATAGAGCAGAGCTGTATCCAACCCTTCAAGGATACACAGAATGAGTAAAAAATAAACGTTTCTTTTTAAAACCGTTGAGATTTGAGGTTCATCTGATAGCATAGCTTAATCTGGACTATCTTAATTGATACAGGCCCTTTCCTTACTCCACAGCCCAAAGTCAATCATGGATGGAATAAACACCTAAAAGTGGAAAAGCAAAACTCCCTGAAAAGGTATGCCTTAGAGTTGAGCAAAATGGTCTTACAGTCACAAAATGTGCTAGAAAAACACTGGTAGCACACAGGTAATGATATTCAACTCTGTACCCCGCAGATATGTACAATCAACTATGTGTCAATGAAAATAAATAAATGAATGAATAAATAAATAAAAGGAAGCCCTTTTCAGTTACCTCTTCCCAAATGTAAACTGGATAGACTAGGTAGAAAAAGTTAATGGAGCAATAATAAAAAAAGGTAAAAGTACAGAACACAGTTAAATTTGAGTTTCAGATAAACAAATAATTTTTAATATTACTGATGTCCCATGTAGTGTTTAGGATATACTTATACTACCAACATTACCTGCTATTTACCTGAAATTCAGATTTAGGGGGCATCCAGTATTTTATGTGCAACCCTACCCAAGGGATGAAAATGAGAAGAGATCTCTAGAGCGTTACTAAACAAACAAAAACACTGGTAAATTCAACACCATTGAAATTACATACTTCTTTCACCAGAAATCACAAGAAAATGAAAAGATAAGCTACAAACAGGGAGAAGATATTTGTAGTACAGATGATCAACAAATATTCTCCAGAATATAAAGAATTTTAACAAATCAATAAGGACAATCTAACAGAAACTCACAAAAAACCTCAACAGGCACAGAACAGGAAACACAGATGACCAAAACCAAAACGAAACTATAAAAAGATGCTCAATGTCATTAGTGATCAGACAAATGCCAGAATGAGGTAACATTTTATATCTACTGGACTAAAAAGTTAGGAAGTCTGATAAGGCCAAGCGTTGGTGGTAATGTGGAACTGGTTGAAATATAAACGGCACAACTAATTGTGAAAATAATGTCATGTTATCTTGCATATTTCAGGCTCATAATTCTACCACTGGGCATACACCATTGAAAAACACTTTCCCGTGTAAGCTGGGAGACATATACAATGCTCACAGCAGTACTGAGAGCAAGAGCAAACAGCCAGAAATCACCAAAATATACATTAACATGAGACAGGAAAAAAAATGAATTGTGATATAGTCATCAATAAATCCAAATGAATACATATATTGTATTGTATAATTCAGTGTAAACAACAGTCAACAGGAATGGACTACAGCTATAATCATTAACACGGATGAATCTTAGAAACAACACTGAGTTCAAAGGCAAGCTATAGGATGCATATAGAATGACACCATTTTTATAAACTTCAGAAACAAGCAAAACTAAACACTTACCTAGGGATACTATGTACTAAACTACGAAGAAATGCGAGGAAATGTGGGGGGAAAGTAAAGCTAGTGGTAACCTCTCTGGGAAGATGTATAGATGGCACTGGGCAGGAGAACATGGGCTCCCAGATGCAGTTTCCATTCTCCCTGACTGTGCTACAGGTGCCCAAAAGCATAAGGAAAGAAAAAGTAAAGCATTAGGTTGAGCTGGAGTATTGAACTCCTGTAAGCAAGGCACCTTTACCAGCACTTCCTCCAAACAAGGGAAGGTAGCCAGGAATTAAGGATAACAGCAGCATGAGCTATGCCTTGGGTCAGGGGAACTCAAGTAGCTGCGCTGGATTGGGAGTTCACAGCATACCTGCTGTGTCTTTGTGCCCCTTCTCTCCCTCTTCCTTCCTCTCTCTTTTTGCTAATTTGCTATGCCGCATTAGATAACCAGAAACAAGAACACCTTGGTCCTAGCATAAACCCCACCTCCTCCAGGAACCCACATGATTCCTTCCAGCACTAGCTCTGTACCTCCCCTTTGTATTCTTCTCTCTTTACCCACTGAGGTAGGCAGACTTCTAAGATAGCCCCCAAAGATCCCCACCTCCTGGTAATTCATGCTCTTGTGTAATCCCCTCCTCTTGAAGGAGCTGGATCTAGCAACTTCTTCACCTGCACCGAAAATGATAAAAGTGATGGGATAATACTCCTTAGATTAGGTTATAAAAAACTGACTTCCTTCTGTTCAGCACTCTCTCTTGCTAGATTTCATGAACCAAGCTACCATGCTAGAGAGACTCGCATGGCAAATAACTGAGGGTACCAACAGCCAGCAAGGAGGATCAGTCCAACAGCACCTGAGGAACTGAATCCTGCCAACAACCACAACGATCTTGAAAGTGAATCCTGCCCCAGGTGAACTGTGATCACGGCCTTGTGGGAGACCCTGAAGCAGAGGACAGAACCAAACCATGTCCCCATGACACACAGGAAGTGTGAGATAAAAAATAGGAATACATAAATTGTTTTAAGCCACTAAATTATGAGGTAATATGCTACACAGTGATAGATAACTAATACACTAAGACCATTCACAGGTGATACATCTTCTCTCACATCCCCTGCAGTCCCTGGTTGGTAGCACAGTGGACACCTAATTAATTTTCAAATTAACTACCAAGTTTTACTGAAATTATTTCACTAAAAAAGAAACTGGAAAAGGGAATTAAGAAAAATAATGTTTTAAAGATTTACCATAATTTGTCCTGGATAACTATATATCCTGGAAGCAATTTCCAAAGAATTTTATCTCACTTCCCATGAGTGAAGACCTCTTGGGCTCCAAGTTGTTTATACCAGTATTTGCCACATGCTCACTGACACCTTCCTATGGTCAGAAGACAACATTTCCTAATAAGCAATATTTTCCAATTTATCAGTTGAGAACTATATCATTTTGAAAAACAAATTACAATTTGCAGGTGGGGGGATGCCTTTTTATGGACATTATATTTTACTAAATATTTTCCAGGTTTTATCTATAACTAAATCTTAAGTGATCATAACTGAAAAGTAAGATTTCAGAAACTACTGATTTTCTTGCTTACTCACATTGTCTAATTTCTCTATAATGACCATACATTGCTTTGCATGATTTTTAAAATTCTAAGATAAAAAAATAAAACCATCACTCTCGAGGTAAAGTACAGGAACACCACCAACAGTAGTTAGAAAAGAATATGACATTTTATTTTCACTTATGGATGTACAGTACATGAATTCAGAAATAAAATCATTGCAGGGTTCTGAAACATTGATACCTTAAGATCTAGTCCATTCCCTGCAAAGCAGCCACATTAACACACACCAATATTAGTCCATTCCCTGCAAAGCAGCCACATTAACATCTCAGATTTGGTCTTTGTTGTAGCTGTTGACATAAGTTCTTAATGATGTGAAATGCCCAGTAGCAACTGAATACTATATTACAGTAGACATAAACCAAGTTTCAATATTCTATCTTTGGAACAAATTTTGCTTATTTACATGTTAAGAATAGGTGGCTCTATTTACTTACCCTATTGTGAGTTTTAATGACTGATTTTAAGCTACAGAGGGTTTTTCCGCTATTATTTCCTTTAGAGTTTCTAAAAGCAACAACTCTTATTGTTTATAAAACATAATGTTGAAAAAAAGGTAATGTTGAAATAAAGGCGCTTTTGGAAATATTTAAGAACAACATAAGGTATTACTACTATTGGGAAAAAAACTACATATTTTCAAGCACAACACTGAAATCTTGTAACAGTGTTTAATTGAATTGTTTTAAAATAGTGGCAATTATACTACCTTACATTCTGTCCTAATATTTAAACTTCATAATTACAATTTGCATATATGATCTGTACAATCAGAATTATGCACAGCTTCTGAAGCATATATTTCAGGTTTGTTTTTGCACATAAATTAAAATTTAAGTTGGTCCTTGATCTGGAGAACTATAATTACCTGGAAGCACTAAATTTTAGACACATTTATTGATAGCCAACAAAATACAATCAGAATTATGCACAGCTTCTGAAGCATATATTTCAGGTTTGTTTTTGCACATAAATTAAAATTTAAGTTGGTCCTTGATTTGGAGAACTATAATTACCTGGAAGCACTAAATTTTAGACACATTTATTGATAGCCAACAAAAACCTTGACAGAATTAAAAGCATCAATAGTACCATGCATGGAAAAGCAGCTGTTTCCCCCGAGTTTGATATCAAATCTAGCACAAGACCCTCTCAGAGGCCTACATGTCTTGATGAGTGAGTCCCAAAGAAACCAAAATGTACAGGAGGAAGTAGCTGACCAGCCAAGGGTATTTTCCACACTGAGGCAATCCTTAAAAATAGAGGCGGCTTTGGACCTTTAGCAGAAGAGATAAACTTTACATTCTTTGATTCCATTTACACCTTTTAAAAAAGATAATAAAGTATATCTGAACCCTGTCATCATACTTAAACTGCTGGTACACAGCAGCAGTTCAAGCTGACTGAAGTCATGAGACAGACAGTCCACGGAAACTTCAAAGAACCCCAGACCCCGTTCTCCTCTTCCCTACTGTGAAGCCACAGACTATCTCGTGAAACTACTTGACGTCTGTAAGAGACTTACATTTTATGAACATAGTAGAGGTTAGCATATCATTAAACTTTTAAGAAAAGTCCAAAGATGTATGAAAAACTATGCTTGCTAACAGTGCTTCTACAATGACAATAATGAAAATGAGCTAGAAAAATAATTTTACTGTTTTTTAAATAATGAAAGAAGCTAGATTTTTAAAATATATTACTTATTTTGCAACAGCTGATTAAATTGACAATGAATAAATTCCTTCCATCCTGTGAGCTGAATTCAGGTTATATTTTAATTATAGAATAGCTTCAAATTATAAATATAACTGTCCCAATAGTGAAGAGATCATCAAGGCAGTAACATCAGATCAATTCTAAGTCATCATCACACAAAGAGCACAAGATGTGCTTTCAGATAAAGTCTTTAAAAAGACCACGGGGCTGACGTGGAAAGCAGGTCAGTAAAGACTCCAGTTCTGCATAATGGAATCTTCCAAGCCAAGCCGCTTTCCACAAACACAAATTCAGTCTATCTTTTCTTTCTGGACCAATCTGGGAGCATCAACAAAATCTTTGCCATTGTAAAGAATAATAAAAAACGTTCCGATGCTTGCAACTCCCCAGAAGAGCACATAGGCCAGTGTTTCTGTCCAAGTATCACCTGTTGATATTAAAAAACAAAAAGTCGATACATAAAAATCATTTGTTGATACCAGATCCAGCTTTCAGCTGTTTAGCACATCTTGACAACATTAAAGTATACTAGCACACCCACAGGAAAAGTATAAGCACTGCTTAAGGTTTAAACCAGTGGTTCTCAAACTCTGGCTAGCACTAGAATCCTCTTCTGGGCTCAATAAAGCAATTGCTGGGCCCCAAGAATCTGCATTTCTAACAAGTTCCCAGATGATGCTGATGCTATTGAACCAGAGGCTATACTTTGAGAACCACTGGACTAAACTATTTCATATTATATTATGCAAATAATAATTTTAAAATTATATATTTAAATATTATAAAAAACTACTACTAACAGTTTCACAGTTTTATAACAGTTCAGAGCTACTATCAAAATACCTACACAAAAAATAAATTTTACAAAATATACATGCTTCAGAACAGTTATGTATTAAAGTCAAGTATATAAAACAAAACTTAGTGACATATTCTAATAACATATTTAGCACAACTCTGTTGATATGCATTTTTCAGTCTGGACTTCAGCAAGCCAGCAGGCAAAATCTGCTTTGTTTTATTGCTTGAATAGATGAACTTAGTGTCACTTCTCTTCTGCAATAGTACTAGCCTCATTTGCAGATGGAGAACAGGTGCAGAGGTCAGTACCCAGTAAAGAAAGCACACCAGGGAAAGAAAACCAGAGTCTAGACTCTTTCCTAACAAATTATGTCACAGATCATGCTGAATTTGCTTTCTATTCTCTTAAAAACCACAGCTGGGGCTCAAAATCAGATATTACCATACCCAAACATCACAAAGTTCATTATTTTACAACAATCAACTGACATGAGATGTTACTATCCACAGCATCCAATCTCTTTTTACTCAAAAATATACCCAAGTTTGTAAAAAATGCTCATTTTCACTGCACTGAGTTTTAAAATTCTTCTTGGACAATAGAAGAAAGGCAGTTCCTTGTAAACCCACTCTGTTGAACACTCCTCAAAGGAATCGTCCTTTTATTCAGGCTGAGCTCTTGGTCTTGACTTTCCCATCCCCTTAGAAGTTCTTTAGGTAAATGTGGGTATAGTCAAAACAAAACAACAGAACTAACTAATTTAACGTTGGAGTGGCTCCCAGAAAATGGCATCCACTAGGAGATATTTTAAAGAAAGAAGTCAGAGACCCAGGGAGTGAACAACACCAGTTTCGGGTCTGAGGAACCATGCTGAAAAATCAGCACAGGCTGACTGGTTCTGTCCTCTTCCTTCCTGCATGCAGGACCCGTGGTTACACCACAGGCAATTCCTGTGCCTTCAATTTGTACTCTGAGCTAAGAATGGTTTTAACATTTTTAAAAGGGTGTTAAAACAAAAACAAAAAATGTGCAGAAGAGATCACAATGCAATCCGTAAAGAGAAAAATATTTATTATCTGGCTCCTTATAGAAAAAATTTGCTAACTATAATAAATAGGGTGCCTGTTCTTCAAAGGTACAACACAATCAAGTCATAGACTCAAATCCCCAAAGCGAAGGACATTCCTTAATGGAGACTGTACTCTTCTCACTTTACCTTAAATGCCTATTAACTTAGTAACATAGGGAAAATATGAAGAGAAAAAAGAAAACCAGTAAAGACCTTGTCAGCTCAGGTTTTCAAGCAATTTTACTTTCAATCTATTAAAATTTAATGACAGGTAATGTCTTAATTCACTAATAACATTCATTTGTTCAACAATAAGTGGCTGGTTAAATAAACTATATATCCATGAATGGGACACTTTGCAGCCACTAAAAATGAAGAACATGGAACAATATTCATACTAGTCAGTGGAAAAAGATTACAAAAATGCATATCTCATTTTTGAAAAATAATCACATACACAAAGATTAAAACATCAAAATGTTAAGAGTGGTTAGCAGAATGATAAATAACATTTTCTTCTTTTTTGAAAATGTATTTTTCTATAATTACTATGTATTATTTTGGTAATAAGAAAAAAATGTTTTCAATATCTTAAGTACAAAAAGTAACCACCACTACCAACAACAATCAAACTACTAGGTCTATATTTTCTTCCTTTCACATCTAAGAACTAATCTCATCCATGCCATTTTACTCATTAAATTTAATAGGGAAACATCAAGTACTGAAATGGACTTAAAAACTCAAGAAGTTGTGCAAGAAAGTTCAATATTCAAAGAAATTAGTGTAAGAATGTAAAATAAGAGCAGACTTACCAGCCATAAGCAAACAGATAATGCACATAGAAAAGGCAACAACCATGATGATAGGTAACTGGAAAAGATAATGGAAAGAGACACCATCGTTTAAGAATGTTAAATCAGCGGCTACAAAATCAGCTGAGTATGCTTTGCTTGGAAAAAGAATAAAACTCTCCTGCAAGCTATACACAATATCTTTCTTTCAACAAAACACCATTACTTAGGGGTTCAATCACTTTGCCCAAGTCTTTAGACTGGTTAAGTTATAAGATCTGAGAAAGCATGACTTTGCTTCAAACCAAGGAGTGCAAAGTGGAGGGAGGTTGTCCAGATGAGAACCCAGGACACTAGGCCTCCTTTCCATTCCAGGGCACACTGCCCCCTAGAATGAGACTTCAGAGAGGCTACTGTAAAGTCTGGTGAACAGAGGAGTAAAAGAGGAGAGAAGTGACAAAAACATACTTTGCCTTCCATGTCACAAGTTTGTCTCCAGCAATTCCCTGAACATAAGAGCTAAGTCTTCCTAATATGACATATCTTCCACATTCCCTTGGCTTGTATGTTCTCAAAATGGATGCGCGAGAGTGTGAGGAAAAAAACCAAATGCCTCCAAAGTTATTTTACTTCTTGCCCTGATCTTTCTGGGGGAAACTTAAGTATTTATATTTCATTTAGAGCAACATATGTTTTAAATCCAGGGGGTCTGGCACCATCTACATCTTCAGACACAATGCTTTAAACAACTTAAACAACATAAAGGTTTCTTACAGCCAGGAATTTCCAATCCCTTGGAACACTTAAAGGACTATGAGATTCTAATTCATCCACTGAATAGTTTCCAAGAAATAAGTCTATGGAATCCTAGAATATAAAGAAGGAAATTAATAATTCCCCAAACTCAGTGTGATCACATTATTGAGAAACAATGCAAAGATACAACCACCTAATAACTAAAAAAGCATCAAATACAAACTTACCTGTCTAAATCCATCAGAGAAGTTGTTCTTGTAATATGCCCCAAACTCAGTGTGATCACATTACTGAGAAACAATGCAAAGATACAACCACCTAATAACCAAAAAAGCATCAAATACAAACTTACCTGTCTAAATCCATCAGAGAAGTTGTTCTTGTAATATCGTATCAGTGAGTTCCAGCCATCCATTATAAGTCCCAACTGAGTTCTCTTCCCAGTTCTGAGTAAAAGAGGTTAAGTCTTAAGTTATAGACTTGCATACTAAATTCTCACAGTTTTATGGCCAATAAGTATATGATATGGAAGTAGGTGAGTTACAAAGATTTTTAAAATCGTCCCTGAACATATAGAGACACTTCACTAGAAATCAGCAGGTCCAAGAAATATGTATCCTCTTTCTAAAATATTACCAAAGTAGGAACAAAGGAAAAACACTCAGTTCCAGTTGCAAAGACAAGAAATATGAAGAGAAACACAGTTTGGGTTAAGTGGTATGAAACAGCAAAGAGACTAGAAATCTTATTTTGCTTCCAGGGAATCCATATAGCAGAATAAGACCCAACTGCATTTGTAACAAATTCAAAATGTTCTAACCCCTCATTACCCAGTGTGGTCCCTGAAAGAAGCATCAGCATCACCTCGGTGCTTTTCAGAAGTACAGATCTCAGGCCCTGCCCCAGACCTGCTGAATCAGACTAGTAGTTCAGGTGCACCATAAGGTTTGAGCAGACTGCAGAGTGTGTTCCCAACCCTCCTTGCGTATCAGAATCCCTGACCGAGGCTAAGAACCCACCAGCGCCTGGGCCTCATCTCTTAGTAATCCTGACTTGATGGGTCCCAAGTGAGGCCCAGGCACTGGTGTTTCGCTGCTGTTGTTGCTGTTGTCTGAAAGCTGCCCAGGTGATTCTAAAAAGCACCAGGACTGTGAACCACTGATGCAGGATGCTATTTTAAAAGTGTGGCTTACCTGGTAAAGTCAGTCTTCAAGGCACCAGTTCCCGCATACTGTTTGGCACAAGCATTTGCGTTGTCAGCCCAGGCTGTGAAAAAAGTAAAAAAAACCATCTGATAATGATTAAAATGACAACCAAAGTTCTAAATCCAAACTATTAATTTATTTCAAAAATTGAGCAACTTTGCCTCTATTAAAGAAATTACCTACCATTTTTGTAAATCTTCTCAAATTTATCTTGTTCTTCAAGCTTTTGTCCCACATGTAAAACTCCTAGTCTCTGGAATAAGAACCACACCCATATTTATGTGTAATAGATTTCAGCAGACATGATTTAAGATAAAGCAGACAGTCCCCAAATCATACCACATGGTTCCTGGCTGATAGATGCAGGCCAGAAATGTGTCCAATGTACACAGAGGGTCCTAGCTCACCATAGCCTTCTCCCACCCAGGGCAGACTACAAAGCCTTTCCTGGGGGCTCCTTTGACCTGCAGCTCCCCCATTCCCTTGAGCCCCACCACCACAAAGATAGTGGCAGGACTATACTCAGGGAGAGGGGCAGGAGGGAGAGTGAAAGTTGCTGCAGGATTCCAGCCGCTACTTCCCTCCTTCCTTCCAACCCCAGCCTTCCACTGCCTTGTCCCCTTCTGCCCTCCTCACAATTCACCATCCCCAGACTTCCTCACCCAGGTCACCCCAATATTACTCTCTATTGAGAATCTGATGAACACTACATGTCTACCTTCCCACAAACTACACGCACATACAGCCCTTTGCATATAATCTCAGGGGGAATGCTAGGCCCCCTGAATCCCCTCTACCTTCAGGGTTCACTGACCACAGATTAGGGACCCCTGCCTTGGCCTTTGTCTCAGACTATCAACTCTCTCAGAATCACTATCTTCACTGCTCATAGCAGATGACACACCACTACTCTTCCTCAGAATGGGTCATTCCCACCCTTGAACACAGCACAAGAGCCACCTTCAATATCGTTAGCTGGGTAAAAACTAGTCTCCCCTTCAGGGTTCACTGACCACAGATTAGGGACCCCTGCCTTGGCCTTTGTCTCAGACTATCAACTCTCTCAGAATCACTATCTTCACTGCTCATAGCAGATGACACACCACTACTCTTCCTCAGAATGGGTCATTCCCACCCTTGAACACAGCACAGGAGCCACCTTCAATATCGTTAGCTGGGTAAAAACTCTGCCCTCACTGGAGGGGGAAAGGCACAATTAGGAGTCCCCATACTAGCCGGCAATTCTGCTAGAGAGGTTCCTGCCCAAAGACTCTCTGAAGTTTGGTTAGGTTTCATAATACTATATGTAGCAGGTAAAATAATTAAATACAGATTACAGACCTAGGTAAATAGGTTTCTCATCATCCATGGAACCAAACCATTCCTAATAATGTTTCCACTGAAAAATACACTCTGAAATATATCCAATAGCCTGACAAGGACATAGTATAATACAAACTAGAGCCTGCTCAAACAGAGAAATCACTCTTTTGGCATATGTTACATATCCAAGAGGAAGTCATTCTAAATGAGGTATCTTACCTCCATTATTTCCACCTGGATATCATAAAATTGTCAGAAATAAAGGTGAATGCTTACTAATTGTCTAGGTAGGAAACCATTTGGGATACATTTTGTTTGCCCCTTCACAACATATGCCAGTGTGATTTAGAAATCAGGGCTCTACATATTTTTAATTCCAAATATAAACAGAAAATATTTACATCTATTTTTCTTATTAGCACAATCATAATGATAAAGCAAAGCTATATTAGAAACTTTACCTGAGAGTTAATATCCCTTGCCAGTAATAAAAGAGATGCAAATGAAAACAACCTTGAGGTACTATTTTGTACTATTAAAACAGAAAACAAAACAAAACAAAACCCATTTCAAATAAAAAAATCTAATGCTAGCATAGCAAGAGTTCAATGAAATGGATTCACTTACTCATTGCTGGTGTGAGTGTAAATTGGTATGACCCTTGTGGAAAGTAATATATTTATTCTACTTAACCCGGGTTTTCTTTTTCTTTTTCTTTTTCTTTTTTTTTTTTTGTCCTTTTTGTGACCGGCTGCACCACGCTCAGCCAGTGAGCGCGCCGGCCATCCCTATATAGGATCCGAACCCACCGCGGGAGCGCTGCTGCGCTGCCAGCGCTGCACTCTCCCGAGTGTACCACGGGCTCGGCCCTGGGTTTTCTTTTTCTAGGAATTAGCCCAGAGGAAATATTCAGGTTGATAATAATATATACATAGTCTCTACAGATTTATTTATAAGCCAAAAAGGTAGCAACCTAAATGGCTAATTATAGTACAACAATACAACTGTTAAAAACTATAATTACATAAATGCTAAAGGAAAATGGCAAAATTAAAAATTGTGTATACACATACTGGCAATAGTTACGGAAAATGTGCACATCCACGTGTCAAGACACAAAAATAAAGAGTTGGGTTAGGGTGGGACAATGTGAATTTTTTTGTTATTGGTTTTTAAAGATGAAGTTTAATTTTGCCATATTGTTTTTCAGTTAAAAAAAGAATTCGTACCTGAAGCTGGGCCTGAAGTGAACGACGAGCTAACAAACTCTGGATCACATTGGTTCTATCTAAACAATCCATGCAATTGCTTCGGAACACACCTTCCTGGTTGGTCATCACCTTGCCAGCAGAGTCCACTAGAAAATAACTGAAACATATTTGCATAAACACTCTCATACCAAAATAGGTCAAATCTACTAAGGACATACCTCTTATTACATGGATCTCATTTCAGTGACATTATCAAAGGCTGTAAATTAATAGGTCAGACAGGAATATGAGGTCAGGCATATTTGATTATCCTAGACCAAACAGAGGTTTGAATGGCAAGGATAGATGGCCCCCATCCAAACAAAAGGCAGTAATATCAGAAGTAATCTCATCCAAGTGATGTGGAAAAGTACAGTTAGGAGGATTGTAAAGGTTGCTATGGACATCAATCATGTTTCCCAAGGCCAGAAAAGAGTTTCCTGTAACATAATTATTCCCACTATGTCCCTATATATCAGAATGGTCCCTGTACTATCTGCATCAGAATCCTCTGGGTTGTTTATTGAAGATTCTTGGCCTTGAGCTCAACTGAATCAGAATCTTGAAACAAGGGTTGAATATTTTTTTTAAACGGGTAAAATATGCGAATAGTATAAAACTTATAAAGCACAATAGGGTACTATTTGACAAATCACTTTCCCTTTCCCCCCTTAACCACCCAGATGTCTGCATTGCAGCCAATCATGGTTATCAGTTTCTGTGTTTTCAAGCTCCTTACATAATCCCATGAACTTGAACATTTGACAACACAGTGTGGTGGTTAAGAGCATGGACTCTGGCAGCAAACACTGTTTGCTAGCCTTAGCACCTCAGGCGATTTACTGGTTCTATAATTTTAAATAATAATTTTTTCATCCACAAAATGGAGGTTAGGGCACAACCATTACGCTGTTCTAAGGTCTGAATGAAATAACAAATAATGCACATAAAGTGCTTACAGAGTGTATGGGACAAAGCATATAATGAATACTACATAATATTAAATTATTGAAATTATTTCCCAAAATCCAAAAGGAAGGAAGAAATGCAATAAATTCATCAGGTCTGAAGAAAAGCATAACCTCAGGAATAAGGACCTAGAAGAATGTGTTCAGATGGAAAATCTACATGAGGTTCACGCAGAATTGGTGAGGTTCATCCAGAGTTGGTGTACATACATGTGCATGTGTATATGCTGGCATCCCATAAGTACTTACAAAATAAATACGAGATCTATGTTATAAATGTTATTTCTTAAACCATACAATAAGCCTATGAAGTAGGTATTGTTATCTCCACTTCACAAATGGAGAAACTAAAGCTTGGAAATACCTAACTTGCCCCTGGGTCACACGGCTAATTAGATGTAGACTGAGATTCAAACCAAGATGGATCAGACTCCAAAGTCCAGATTCTTTCCACCACCTCAAAACTACCTGGAAAAAATGTCTCAGGAGATCATATTAAAGTCACTGGGGAAAGCTCTACTGGCCCTGTGCAGCACAGTGAATGGCAATGAACTCAGATTCTGCTGTCAATCCTCCACTTTCTTATACTTTTATATTGCAGTAATCAATGGGTGAATCCAAGGAACTATCCCCTCCAACAACCTGTCAGGCTCAACCAATGTTTTCTCTAATAGCCCAATAACTTTATAGGTCAATCTCCCTTTACCAACTATGTTTGTGACAAAACCTCACAGAAAAAAGAAGCAAATTTGATTACTTAATATAAAAATATATATATTTTAAAAAACCAAGCAAATGTGTATTGGAGAGGTTTTACTACATTATTGTATAACTAAAATTAAAAAGTACAAGTGGATTACCAGGTTTCAAACTATCAAACAGAGGCAGAACAAAATGATAGAATGGTTTCCAGATTCCTTTTTCTGGCTTTAAAATAAGTAAAGACTGACATATGCATAGATTACAGTAAATCTATGAACAGATGCCAGAAATACTATAGTAAACACATAAAAAAGTACATCAGACATTTTGATTTATTATTCCTACTCTGAAGAAATTTTTTTTAGAAAATAATTTAACAGAAGTAAAAAATATGTATACCCAGAGTGATTTCCTGCAACACAGTCTTTCATGGTAGGAAAAGGTAACGAACCAGATGCTCAATGTGAAAGAAAGCATTTAATTAAAACTATGTTACAACGCAATGGAATAAAAAAGCCATTAAACACGATCATTACAAAGACTACATAGGCTAATAACAAAATACCTGTGATAGACTGTTTAGTGAAAACGACTAAATATAAAACAGTAGTAAATCAAGTTCAATAAGATTAAAATTTGTAAATGTATAAAAAATAATTTACAAAATATGAAAATACTCAGCCTTGGGCTATTTTTAAGAATTTTAAAATATTTTCAAACCAAGTTTTATCTTTCTAATAAAATTAAAAATAATAAAAGTATAGATAAGCACTGACAATGCAGTGAACTGTATTTGTAAGTCTACTAGATAATGCATAATAAATATGATTGATATATACACACACCTCTTTCCCCCATCTCCATAAGTAAATAATATAGCTTACCTTAATTCATCTTGTGTTTCTGCTACCTGATCCAATAAAATACTTAGTCGATCCCATCTCATCTTTCCACATTCCTTATGGAAGTCAAAGGCGATATATCTACCAAAAGAAAAGCTATTCAGAAACTGACCAAAGACCATTCATTTTCCTTCTATTAATAATATCTCTATAAGCTCATTTTCTTCTATATCACAGCACACATAATTCTTGAGAACACTGGAGCCTCCTTCACTCTGGGTTTACCACTACATATTCTACATACACATACCCCACCTCACGCTCATACCTATCAAAGGAAAAAATATATATACATATTATATGTGTAAACATATATGTGAATATATATAAAAAAAATATGTGTGAACATATATATATATATATATATAAATAAAAATAAAAACAAAAACAAAAACACACACACACCTATCTTCACATGCTCTCCTCGGGGCCCTCAGAGAGAAGTGGAAGCAAGGCATAGCGAATGCTAGTGAAGTGGGCTCAAGTACAGCAATAAGGTATGCACTGTGAAGTCCTACTCCAACCGACTGGCTAGCATGTTATCTATTCTCTATCCCCATGAGTAAAGAATAGGGTCTCTTTTTATTGTTTTTCAAATTGATTAATGTGTTCAAAATGGTGAAACTTAATTCAGTCTAATGAGGATTAGTTTGGTTGTCCATTGTGTGCTAGGTTTTGGGAGAAGTACAGAGGCAGTAGTCCCCATTATGGTTAATTATGACCATGTTAACAAAAAATTCACGTTCCTTTGTCAATATCTATACATCGTACATATCTATAGAAGAGATAATTTTCTTGTTTGTCAATCTATAATGAGTTGTCTTCAGTTATCTAATATTTAAGAGGCACAATTCTAAAAGTTAGAAGATACCTAACAGTGAAGGTGTCCTACCATGAGCTAAAAAAGTTGCCCTTTGAAAGGGGGAAAAAAATCATTAAGTCCTGAAAGTCAAGGGAAGAAGAAAGACAGCAGAGAACCTGAGCGCCATGGCTATAAGAGTCTCGAATGAATATTCCACTTCTGCCCAACTTCCTTCTCAGGAATCAAGACAAGTCATACAGTAGGAGGATTGGAAGGACATTATGTTCTCATCTGCTGCGTGAAAATTCAGATGAAGTGTCTGCTCTCGTGACTTCCTTGACTCCAACCAAATGAAGGGACATCAATAAGAGTGTGGGCTTCTAGCACATAAAGAAAGCCTACCACATCTCAATGGATATCTCAGGTGAGAATGGTAACCTTAGAAATTAGTTCAAAAATCAAAGCCAACTGAGAGGCTGACAACTTTGGGAAGATAGGGAGTGGGTGAAAGCATTTTCAAAGGCAACTCCAATAAAAGTGGCAGTATGACAGTTATTTTTGGAGTGCTCTCACTAAAGGTGATAACTCTAGATTTGTTTAAAGAATTTAAGCAAAGTTTCAGTTAAGCAAAATAAAAGTTCTAGAAACGTACATTATAACTATAGTTAACAATACTGTATTGTACATTTAAAAATCTGTTAGGAAGACAGATCTCATGTTAAGTGTTCTTAACATAATAAAATTAAAGAAAATACCAAACAAATAAAAATTTAAGTAACTTACTAAAACCTAAATGCATTTGGATTAAGCTTGTATCCTTGTTCTAAAACACATTTATACCATCTAAGAATGAGTTATATACTTATACTTGGTGATAAATTATTTTAAATATATTATTTTACTTTTAAACCCAAGAGCCAAGCAGTTCTACTTTCCAAGTTCTACAAGAAATCCGTAAGACACATTCTCTTGCACATCTCATTTTTTTCCACCCAGTTTCCAAATGAATGACCTTCCATTGCTAATGCATCCCACCACTCCTCAGTAGTATGACCATATATGACTTTTCTCTTTCTGCCATTCACCAATTCAACAACTTAATTTACTCATAGTAACAACTGGTTAAAAAACTAAAAAGCTAATCAGTCCAATAGATATCTTAAAGACAGTAACAAATCTACTACTTGACTTCAGACATAAATCAACACACTGATTTTTTTCCCCTGCCAGAATACATATTTATTAAGTAAAAAAAAAATTCAAATACACTTGTATTTAAATATGCTCCTCTGTCTAGTGGTCATTAGAGCTCATAGAAGGGAAATAACAATAGTTTTGGATTGCTCACTCTTTAGCAATAGGTGCCCTTCCAAGTTTCCTGAATAGAAAGGGCATAACTTTAGACTCTAATTTATGCATCAAGTTCTCAATGTTAGCTACTGCTAAAAAATTCCAAATTCCTCGAGACAACTCTAGAGGCAAAGCATACCTATGGAAACCCTCTTGGGCAGACTATCTTAACAAGAGGTGTACATAAAATGAACATTTTCCAGTACATATATGATGGATTCCAATCTTGGAGAGTTGATTTTTCAGATCTGAAGGTATATTCTGAGTAAGTTAATACTAGGATTCTGAGGCACACCCTGGTTAGGACTACCTTCTCTGAGTCACTTGAAGTGTGTTTTGGCAAGTTCCACTGTGAGAAGGTGGAAGTGTAGATGGAGTCAGGATCTGATTAATTTTCTAGGGCTTTTGAATTGGACAAGAAAGACTTAAATTCTTCCCCAAAGACTCATTATATTATTCTATCTTTGCATATGTTTGAAATTTTCCATAGGTTAAAAGAGTTTCTCCCCTGATAAACCAATACAATTTGGGGGGAAAGTTTCCCAAATGCCTGTGACCATGTTTTACCATAGTATACCTCCACCTTCTATCCCAATTTTCTGCTGCAGAAAGCTTCAAATGGGCTGACTCATTACTTTGCACCTTTTCACAACGATGTTTTCGATGTTTTCGGATCTCTGTCTTTACACAAGGCTACACAGAGTTTGCAATTGTTGCCTGGTGACTTATAGGAGAGGCAAAGTTGCTGCTCCAAATAAGGCCACCATGCAACAGCTAAAGTGCTCCAGTTCATGTGGTGGTCAGGACCTCAGAGTCCACACAAAACGATCACAAGGAATTGAAATTTGTGACCTAACAGCTGTAGCCTCACAAAGCCTCTCAGGGATACAAAGCTTCTATGAGGAGATTTTAATCAGGGACTAACCTCAAATTAAAACTTGAAGGTTAAAAAAAGTTATTCAGCAACATAAATTATACCAGAGAAAATTTCAAGCCAACAAAAAAATCATGCTTTGATCTAGTACTGAAAAAATGCAAGTTGAAATATAACATATCTAGTGAGCTCTATGTACCCACGCATATACATAAGTGCACATCTGATCTGAAAAGACCAGCAATAGACTTCTAGTGAGTTACCTGATCATTCCACTTCCCAAGGAAGAAACCATTGTTGCAAATGTCTGTTCAAGTGGCTTCTCTGAGCCCTTCTGGTTAACCTGTAAAAAATTAAAAACACTATAGCTTTCAGTTTACTTAAAAGGAGCAAGTGACATCAGAAAAACAGCATATTAGGAAGCTCTAAGCCCTTGTTCCCCTAAAGAAACATCAAACAAAACAAAACAAAAAACTAAGTAAAACCTGTCTGAACCAACTTTGTAGGAGCTCTGGAAAACCATCAAAGGTTTATGGCAACCCACCAAATGTCTAATCAGGAAAACGCTACCTTAAAACCAAAGGAGAGTTTTGTGGTGTCTTTATTCATCTTTAGCCCATCTCTTCCTCAGAGTGGTGACAATTTTAATCTTAAGTAGAAGTAACCTGTTCTCAGTTCGCCTCACCCAACTAGAGGAAGCAAACCAGACCTTATTTGCAAATAATTCTGTATATCTATTCTAATCTGAAGGACTAACTCACTCATCTCTGTCTTGAGTAACACTGAACACAGGCAAGAAAAATGTTGGACAATGCTTGTAAAATCTAAAATAAAATGATAACCAATAAATACCTGGGACAAGAGATTCTGGGACATACAGTAGGTTATCTAAAGCCTGGAGAAGCAGCTGGGTGAAAGTCTTTGTGAAGTTAGGACATTCAAAAGCAGCCAAGTATATGGAGGAGTTTAGAAAGCCACCAACACGTCCAGGTAAGATGCATGCTCAGAAAAATCTTGAGAAGACCCTAAGCCTTCACCTCAGACTGGGCCCTAGGCTTGGGACAGGCCTGGCTAATCATAAAAGAATGCACCACCACAGAGCCAACCTGCAAAGAATGGGAGATAGGGCTGTTCTCTCATTTTTTTTTTTGTTGTTGTTGTTGTTGTTAGTTTTTTGTTTATTTCAGTTCCTGGAATTAACTGAAATCTATTTTTTGTTGTTGTTGTTGTTGTTGTTAGTTTTTTGTTTATTTCAGTTCCTGGAATTAACTGAAATCTATCAAAACATTATCCAAACGTAAGTAAAAGAAACAGAGGCTTCAGTGAGCATATATGACAAGGAACAGTCTTTGCAAAAATAGTTTGGAAATGTCTCAAAACAAACAGATTACTACATTTAACAACCAAAAAACAAAACAAAGCCATAAAAAAAAGCAAACCCTTGGAAAGGGGGAAACTGTGACTTCCAGAGTTACCAAATTATAATAATCAATTGTTCAACCAAAAAAAAAAAAATCACAGGCACACAAATAGGAAAATATGGCTCATTTGAAGGAAAAAAATAAATTGACAAAACTATCCCAGCAGAAGCCAAGACACTAGACTTGCTAGGCAAAGACTTAAAAACAACTATCTTAAATATGCTCAAAGAACGAAGGGAAAACTTAGTCAAATAACTAAAGGAAATCAAGAAAACAATACATGAACAAAATGAGAATACCAAGAAGAAGAAAGAAATTATTGAAAGGAACCAAACAATAAGTATGGAGCTTAAAAGCATAATAACTAAGATGAAAAATTTTGTAGAGAAGTTCAACAGCAGATTTGAGCAGATAGAAAAAATAAGCTGTGAACTTGAAGGTAAAAATTTAAAATAACCAAGTCTGAGAAACAGAAAGAATAAAGAAAAGTGAATACAGCCTGTGGGATTTATGGGACACAGTCAAGTAGGCAACTTATGTATTATGGGAGTCCCAGAAGGAGAAAAGAGAGAAAAAGGGGTAGAGAGATTATCTAAAGAAAACAATGATCAAAAACTCTCCAAAGCTGATGAAAGACATGAATCTTCAAAACCAAAAAGTGCACTGAACTCCAAGGAGGATGAATGTAAAGATACCCTCACAGAAAACATTATAATCACATGACTGAAAAAAAAAGAGAGAGAGAGAATCTTGAAAGCATCAAGAGAGAAGAGACTCATCATATACAAGCGATTCTCAACAGAATTATCTATCAATTTCTCATCAGAATTCTTGAAGGTCAGAAGATGGAGGGAGTTCTACAGCCAAGAACTCTATATCCAGAAAAACTGACCTTTAAAAATAAGGGAGAAAATAAGATATTCCTAGATAAACAAAACCTGAGGGAGTTCATATCTCTAGACCTGACCTACAAGAAATGGTACAAGGAGTCCTTTAGGTTGAAGTGAAAGAAATTCTACAGCCAAGAACTCTATATCCAGAAAAACTGACCTTTAAAAATAAGGGAGAAAATAAGATATTCCTAGATAAACAAAACCTGAGGGAGTTTATATCTCTAGACCTGACCTACAAGAAATGGTACAAGGAGTCCTTTAGGTTGAAGTGAAAGAATGCTACACAATAACTTGAAGCCATAGAGAGATGTAAAGATCTTCATTAAAGGTAAATACGAGGGCAAATATAAAAGCCAGTATCAATGTAACCTTGGTCTGTGACTCCACTTTTTATTTTCTGCAGGATTTAAAAGTCAAATAAATAAAAAAATTCAGAAATCTGTTATTGGATACACAATGTATAAAGATGCAATTTGTAACATCAATAACATAAAAGAGAGGGACAAAGTTTTATAGGAGGAGAGTTTTTACATGCAATTGAAGTAAAGTTGGTATCAATTCAAATTAGATAATTATAACTCTAGGATGTTATATGTAATCTTCATGGTAACCACAAAAGAAATAGCTATAGAATAACACAAAAAGAAATGAGAAGGTAATCAAAATGGATCACTACAAACAAACAAACAAACAAAAACCCAAAAAACAAAATACAGCCAAACATACAAAAAAGACATTAATGAAGAAAATAGGGAATAAAAAGCTGTAAGAGATATGGAAAACAAATAGTAAGTTAGCTGAAGTAAATCCCTCCTTACCAGTAATTATTTTAAATGTAAATGGATTAACTCTTCAATTTAAAAGAAACAGATTGGCAAAATGAAAAACATGATCCAAGTATATGCTTTCTCTAAGACATTCACACTAGATTTAAAGACACACATAAGTTAAAAGTGTAAATATGAAGAAAGATATTCTGTGCAAATAGCAATCAAAGAGAACTGGAGTAGCAATACTAGTTTCAAACAAAATATACAGATACTCCTCAACTTATGATGGGGTTTCATCCGGTAAACCCATCATAAGTTAAAAATATTGTAAATCAATAGTGTGTTTTCAACTTATGATCATATTTTCAACTTATTATAGGTTTATCCAGTCATATCTCTATCATAAGTGATATCTCTATCATAAGTTGAGTAAACTGAATAGTATCTCTTTCACACAATTGCAAAGACAAAAAATTTTAAGTCAAACTATTGTAAGTCAGGGACTATCTGTACTCTAAGGAAAAACTATTACAAGAGATAAAGAAGAACATTATTTATTGATAGAAGGGTCAATTCACCAAGAAGATATAACAATTATAAACATATATGCAACAAACCATCAGAGCCAGAAATAAAAAATTCTACAATAATAGTTGGAAACTTCAATATCTCACTTTCAATAACAGACAGAACAATCAGACAGAGTATCAATAAGAAAACAGAAAATCTGAACACCATAAACCAATTAGACCCAACAGACATATACAGAACACTACAGCCAATAACAGCATAATATACATTTTTTGCAAGTGCACATGAACATTGTCCAAAACAAACTATATGATAGGCCACAAAACAAGTCTTTAAATAGTTTTTAAAACTAAAATCACACAAAATATATTTTCCAGTCACAATGGAATGAAGCTAAAAATCAGTAACAGAAGGAAAACTAGAAATTTCACAAATACACGGAAATTAAACAACATGTTCTTAAACAGTCATTGGATCAAGGAAGAAATCACAGAGAAATTAGAAAGTACTTAAGAAAAACGAAAACAAAAATACAATATACCAAAACTACAACTCAACAACACAAAAACAAACAATCTGATTTAAAAATGGGCAAAAGATTTACATAGACATTTCTTCAAAGAAGATACACAAATGGCCAATAAGCACATGAAAAGATGCTCAACACCACTAGTCATTAGATAAATGTAAATCAAAACCACTATGAGACACTACTCCAGACCCACAAGGATGGCTATTCTTAAAAAACAGAGAAAATAACAAGTGTTAGCTATGATATATAGAAACTGGAACCCTGGTACATTGCTAATGGGAATGTAAAATGGTACAGCCATTGTGGAAAACAGAATTGTGGTTCCTCAAAAAGTTAAACACAGAATCACCATATGATCCAGATATTCCACATTTAGGTATAAACTTAAAATAATTGAAAACAGGAACTCAAATAGATACTTGCATACCCAGGTTCATAGCAGCATTATTCACAATAGCCAAAAGGTAGAAACAACCCAAAAGTCCATTGATGGATGAATGGATAAATAAAATGTGGCATATACATACAATGAAATGTTATTCAGTCTTATAAAGGAATAAAATTCTGATACATACTACAATATAGATGAGCCTTAAAAACATTATACTAAGTAGAATAAGGCAAATTCAGAAAGACAGAAAGGAAAAGAATTACCAGGGCCTATGAGGAGGGCAGTAATGAGAATTTATTGTTTAATAGGTACAGAGTTTCTGTTTGGTACAATGAAAAACTGTGGAAATGGACAGTGATGATGGTTGCACAACATTATGAAATACTTAATGCTACTGAAGTGCACACTTAAAAATGGTCAAAATAGTAAATTTTCTGTTATGTTAAAAAATAAATAAGTCAAGGTGTTTGTTTTGTTTTCCTGAAAAAACGTGTGAGAGAAATAACAGATTACATCATCAAAATGGCCAACACGAGTTGCCTAGTGCTCATACTCCCACAAAAAGGTCTGAAAACAACAAATAACTATATTTTGAGTGGAGTGACTGAGGAAGTACACTGGAGAGCAACAAGGAAGCAACAAAATCCCTATGAAGCACAGAAGCCCAGACAGCACCAAAGAGAAGGGAGTAAGGCACCCTTCCTTAGCCACACTGTCTCCCCCACTGAGATCGATTCAGAGCCAGAAGGGACTTCTTATGGAGGAATGGTAACTGGAGACCCATGCTGGTCCCCATCACTGGCATAGATACCAGCACTCATTAGTACAGTAAGGTCCCTAGTCTTCAGAGGCCTAGAATCCAGTATGGACAGAGGCCAGGAGTCTGTGTAGCTGTATTGCCCCAGGGAAGGAACCCCTTTGGCATTCCCTACCTATACCCACAACCTAAGCTACTATGGCATGGCACCATCTCAAAACCAGACCCACAACTGGAGTAAATCCTGCAAGGAGCCTCTGGCTTCCTCCATCCCGAGGCCCTGCTGTCATTCCACTATAATCAAATGAGTGCCTGTAGGACCAGTACACTGGCTTCCCATTGCCTAGGGTCAGAGTAACAACTGAGACCCCAACATCTAAACCCAGGAGGCACCCCTTTGCCCCAGGGGAATAGGCAGACTGCAGAGACAAAAAGCTTCCCAGCAGCCATCCGGCTCAGGCTCACCCACCTTCAACCTGACAGCTGGCCCAAAGGTAAATTAAACCTACCCCACCAAAAGGTGAGTGGCGTGACTGGCACAGCTGCCTGGCCCACCCCAACCTGACAGCTAGCCAGGAGGCAGCTATGCCCTACCAAAGGGAGCCCTGTGAAGTTACCAAGCCCACCAACCAACCTGGAAGCAGCTCCACCATATCTATTGGAGCCCTGCATAGCCACACCACACCCACCCCTGGCTGGGCAGCCAACCTGGTGGCAGCCCCACGCTCCCAGAGAGGCTACAAAATAGCCTGCCACTCCAGAGCACCCACATGCTCCTGGCCCAACAACCAATCTGGTGCTCCCACCCCCCAGCAAAACCGCACTACTGCTGTCACAAACGCCCACAGCCTAGCCCAGTGAGACAATCACAGACATCAATAATGTTCATGGAGACCACACTACTGAATACACCCACAACCAAAACCAACCCATTTTCAACTGACACCTTAGGACCCATCTATATAGGAAAAAGCCTAATTCTTCAAAAACTACTCCATAAAATCAAAGCAATTGCTTCATTGTAACATAAGAAACATGAATAAGCAAGGAAATGTGACACCCCTAAAGGAACACAGTAAGTCACCAGTAAAAGACCCCAAAGAAAAGAATATTTACAAAATCCCTGAAAGGGAATTCAAATAAAGACCTTAAGAAAACTCAGTGAGTTACAAGATAATGCAAACGATTCAATGAAATCAGGAAAACAATTTATGATCTGAAAGATAAATTCAATAAAAAGATACATGTCATAAAAAAAGACCCAAACAGAAATCTTGGAACTGAAGAATAAAAAAACAAAAAATACAATTGAGAGCTTCAACATCAGACTAAATCAAGTAGAAGAAAGGATTTCTGAACCTGAACACAGGTCTTTTGAAATAACCCAGTCAGAAGGGAAAAAAAAAAAAAAAAAGAAATAAGAATAAAAAAGAATGAGACAACCCTTGAGGACTATGGGACACCATTAAGCAAACAAATCTTTATATTATAGGAGTCCCAGAGGAAGAAGAATGAAGGCACAAAAAACCTGTTTAACAAAATAACAGCTGAAAACTTCCAGTATTGGGAGAGATATGGATTTCTAGAACAGGAAGCTCAAAGGTCCTCAATAGATTCAATCCCAAAAAATCCTCACCAAGACACATTACAATCAAACAGTCAAAATTCAAAGACAAAGAGAATTCTAAATTCTGCAAGAGAAAAATGTTAAGCCACATACAGGAATACTTCATTTTACCGCACTTCACTTTTTGGCACTTTGCAGATATTGCTTTTTAATTTTTTTTTTTTTAAACAAATTTAGCCATCATTGAGGCATTCAGCCGGTGGTCACCAGCACTGAAGCAAGATCATCCATGAGCAAAAGATTACAATTTGCTGAAGGCTCAGGTGACTGTTAGCATTTTTTAGCAAAAACTTATTTTTTAACTGAGGTATATACATTTTTAAAAGTATAATTCTATTGTACATTTAATACACTACAGTAAAGTATAAACATAACTTTTAAATGTTCTGGGAAACCAAAAAACTCATGTGACTGACTTGCTTTATTACAATATTTGCTCTATTGAAATGGTCTGGAATTGACCCTGCAATATCTCCAAAGTATGAATATATAATGGATTTCCTATTAGACTATCAGCAGACTTCTCAGCAGAAACCTTGCAGGCCAAAAGACAATGAGATGATACATTCAAAATGCTGAAAGACAAAAACTGTCAGTCAAGAATCTTATAATCAGCAAAGCTATCCTTCAGAAATAAAGGAGAAATAAAAACCTGCCCAGACAAGCAAAAACTGAGGAAATTCATCATCACTAGAATGGCCTTATGAGAAATGCTTAAGAGAGTGCTACAACTGGAAACAAAAGGACAACAATGAAAACACGTAAAAGTATAAAACTCATCAGTACAGGTAAATTGAATCAATGATAAAAAGTCTTCCAACAAAAAAAAGCTCAGGACCTGATGACTTCATTAAATTCTACTAAACATTTAAGCAAGAACTAATACTGATTCTCCTAAACTATTCCAGAAAACTGAAGAGGAGGGAATACTCCCAAACTCATTTTATGAGGCCAGCATTACCCTGATTCCCAAACCAGGAATGAACACAACAAAAAAAGAAAACTATAGACCAATATCCATGATGAACATAGATGCAAAAATTCTCAGCAAATTTAACAGCACATCAAAAAGATTAGTCAGTGAGATCAAGGTGGATTCATCTCAGGGATGCCAGGATGTGTCAACATATGCAAATCATTATGTGTGATAAATCACACGAACAGAATAAAGGGAAAAATCATATGATCATTTCCAGTAGACACAGGAAAAGCATCTGACAAAATTCAACATCATTTTATGATAAAAACTCTCAACAAATTAAGTATAGAAGGTATGTACCTCAACACAATAAAGACCATATATGACAAACTCACAGGAAACATCATACTGACCAGGAAAAAGCTGAAAGCTTTTCCTCTAAGATCAGGAACAACACAAGCATGTCCACTTTAATTACTCCTATTCAGCATAGCACTGGTAGTCCTAGCCAGAACAATCAGTCAACAAAAGCAAAAACAGACAAATGGGATTACAACAAACTAAAAAGCTTTTGCACAGCAGAGGAAGCAATGAACAGAATGGGACAACCTACAGAATGGAAAAAAAATATTTGCAAACTACAGATCTGGCCTGGGAGCATTATCCACAATATATAAAATACTTAACAGCAAAAGAACAGAACAAAAAAACAAAACAACAATAATAACCTGATTAAAAAATGGGCAAAAACTTTTAATAGACATTTCTCAAAAGACATTCAAATAGCCAAAAGGTACATGAAAAACTGCTCTACATCACTAACCATTAGGAAAATGCAAATTAAAACCATAATGAGATATCACCTCACTCCAGTTAGAATGGCTATTATCAAAAAGACAAAAGAAAACAAGTGCTGCTGAGGATTTGGAGAAAAGTGAACATTCACATACTGTCTGTGAGACTGTAAACTAGAATAGCCACTATGGAAAACAGTATGGAAGTTCCTCAAAAAATTAAAAATAAACTACCATATGACCCAGCAATCCCACTACTGGGTACATATCAAGGATTTTATTTTTTTATTTTTTTGGTAGCTGGCTAGGATGGGGATCCGAACCTGAGACCTTGGTGTTACAAGGCTGAGCTCTAACCAACTGAGCTAACTGGCCAGCCCTTACTGGGTACATATCTAAAGGAAACAAAATCAGTATGTTGAAGAAATATTTGTACTCCCATGTTTGCTGCAGAATTATTTACAATAGCCTAGATATGGAATCATCCCTACTTTCTAAAAACAAAGAAAGTTGTGGACAAAGAAAATGTGGCATATATACACAATGGAACACTATTCAGCCCAAAGAAAAGAATAAAAATCCTGTTAATTGTAACAACATGCATGGACATGAAGGACATCATGTTAAATGAAATCAGCCAGTACAGAAAGACCAATACCACATGATCTCATTCATATCTGGAAGCTAAAAAAAAAAGAAAAGAAAGAGTGATATCATAGAAGCAGAGTAGAACAGTGGTTACCAGAGACTGGAGAGGAGAGGGCAGAGGAGAGTATGGGAAGAGGTTGGTCAACTGGTACAAAATTACAATTAGACAGGAGGAATAAGTTCTGGTGTTCTATTACACAATAATTGGAGGATGGTTAATAGCAAGGTATCATATATTACAAGTAGCTAAAAGAGAATCTTTTGAACGTTCTCACCATAAAGAAATGATAAATGCATGAGGTGATGAATACACCAAATACCCTGATTTGATCATTACACATGTATGTATTAAAACATCAAATTGTGCCTCATAAATATGTACAATTACAACGTATTTAAAAAAAAAAACATACCAGATTGATTATGACTTGTTTTCCATAAATAATTACTTGTGAATCAAAATGCCTTTGGAAACCATCCATCTAGAGGGAAAAAAGGTTAGATACTTTACCAGATTACATTACAGATATATTTGTAATATTTTAAAAATACCTCCTTAAATGTTCTACTTGTATATTCAAGAGAATGATGTCAGCATGTCATGTCACATAGATATTCTAAATACCATGTAGTATATAGTAATAATAAGCCATTTTACTCTGAGCGGCAATATTATTATTCCAAGTACTCTAAACAGCATAAAGTTAAAAATCTTACTGAGATCACTCAAAACTACAAGTGTATTTGCAATAATATTCAATCACTGTTTGTTTTTCCATGTTTCTTTTTTCTTTTTTTTTTTTTTGTGACCGGTAAGGGGATCACAACCCTCGGCACGGTGTCGTCTGCACCACGCTCAGCCAGTGAGCACACAGGCCATCCTATATAGGATCCGAACCTGCGGCCTCGGCGCTACCAGCACTGCACTCTCCTGAGAGAGCCATGGGGCCGGCTCCTTTCCATGTTTCTTTTTAAGACACAAACAAGGTTTAATATATTTAAAAGGACTAAGATCATAGAAAATATGTCCTCTGACTACAATAATAGAAGGAAATTCAGAAAATTCACAAATGTGTGGAAATTAAACAACACTCTCCTAAATAAACAATACAGAAAATCAACAAAACCAAAAGTTAATTTAAAAGGATCAACAAAATTTCCAAACCTTTATCTAGACTGACCAAGAAAAAAAGAGAGAAGACTGAAATTACTAAAATCAGAAATAAAGAAGGAGCATAATTACATTGCCATTATATTATTTTATGGTGGTTAAGATTTAGTTTCTCTTTCTCGTTTGCATTTTTGTTCTACCAGTGGGTTTTGTTCTTGTGTATTTGTGGTAGTGGTTATCATTTTTGAAATTTCAGATGCAGGATTTCCTTGAGGATGTCTTGTAGGGCTGATAGTGCAGTGGTGAACTCCCACAGTTTTTGTTTGTCTGGAAAATACACTATTTCCCCCTCATTTTAGGACAGCTTTGCTGTATAGTATTCTTGGCTGGCAGTGTTTTTCTTTTAGTGTTCTCGGCTGGCAGTGTTTTTCTTTTTCTTCTGGCCTGTAGAGCTCTGTTGAGAAGTCTGCTGTTAGTCTGGTAGAGACTTATAGGTGACGATGTTTTTCTCTTGTTTCTTTTAAGATTCTCTCTGTCTGATTTTTGCCAGTTTGACTATAACGTGTCTTGGAGAGGATCTTTTTGGGTTGAATCTGTTTGGGGATACTTGAGCCTCCTGGATCTGAAGGTATGTGTTTCTCCCTATACCTCTGAAGTTTTCATCATTATTTCATTGAATAGGTTTTCCATGCCTTTTCCTTTCTCCTTCCCTTCTGGAACACCCATGATTCAAATGTTTGTGTGCTTAAGGTTGTCTGCTAGCTCTTAGATTTTCCTCATTTTTCCTTTTTTTTGGTCCACCTGGGTTATTTCAAAAAGACTACCTTCAAGATAAATTCTTTCTTTGCTTGTTCTAGCCTGCTACTTAAACTATTGGTCGTGTTTTTTATTACACCAAGTGAATCTTTCAGTTCCATGAGTTCCGCTACATTCCTTTTTAAGGTATTAATTTCTGTGTAAATTTCCTCCTTCATATCCTGGATATTTTTCTTGTTTCATTATGTTGTCTGAGTCTTCTGTCTCAGTGAGTGTGTTAGTCCATTTCTGTCACTTATAACAAAATATCTGGAACTGGGTAATTAATAAAGAAAGTGAAATTTATTGCTTACAGTTTCAGAGCCTAGGAAGTCCAAAGTCCAGGGAACATATCTGGTGAGTCGTCTTTGGTGGAGGCTTTTACAGCAATGCAGGGGTCTCTCATGGCAGAAAATAGTGGAGCAGAAAGACAGACTGACTCTCCTCTCTCTTCTTTTAAAGGTCTCAGAACCATGCCCATGACCACCATTTTTAATGCATTCACTACGGCATGGTCCTACAATCTAATCACCTCTTCAAGGCCTCACCTTTCAGTTATCATAATAGGACTTCCCAATCTCTTTACACTGTCAACAGAGTGAACTAAGTTTTGGGGGGGCACATTCAACCCAAGCCAGTGAGTTTCCTTAAGACTATTGCTTGGAATTCCTTTTCCATCATTTCAAGGGTTTCCTGCTCTATAGCGTCTAGTATTTGACAATTTCTGTATTCTTTTGGTGGTGCCATGTTTTCTTGGATTTTTGTATTTCTACTTTGATATTTGGTCATCATAGAGCAGTTACTTCTTCTATTACTCTGGAGTGGGCTTTGAGGAGAGAGATGTCCTCTTCTTTTTTCAGTCTCCACTAGTGATTCTCCTTGTGACTATGAAGTTGAGTGTCCAGCAGGTTACCTGCACAGTGGATGTGGCTACTGCTGTGGAGTTGAGCTGTTTTTGTGGCAGTCACAGCTGTGGTGGTGGCTGTGGTGGGCCACTCATATGGAAGTGGCTTTTTTGGTGTGCTCTCTTACCTGCTTCCAGGCCAAGGGGACCACCCTCAGCTCCTGCCTAGGACCCCAGGCATTGATCTCTTGCCTGCTTCTGGGAGGAGGGTGTTTTTCCACACTTCTAACATGCCATCTATGCAGCCTTTTGGTGGGGCACATTCAACCCAAGCCAGTGAGTTTCCTTAAGACTATTGCTTGGAATTCCTTTTCCATCATTTCAAGGGTTTCCTGCTCTATAGGGTCTAGTATTTGACAATTTCTGTATTCTTTTGGTGGTGCCATGTTTTCTTGGATTTTTGTATTTCTACTTTGATATTTGGTCATCATAGAGCAGTTACTTCTTCTATTACTCTGGAGTGGGCTTTGAGGACAGAGATGTCCTCTTCTTTTTTCAGTCTCCACTAGTGATTCTCCTTGTGACTATGAAGTTGAGTGCCCAGCAGGTTACCTGCACAGTGGATGTGGCTACTGCTGTGGAGTTGAGCTGTTTTTGTGGCAGTCACAGCTGTGGTGGTGGCTGTGGTGGGCCACTCATATGGAAGTGGCTTTTTTGGTGTGCTCTCTTACCTGCTTCCAGGCCAAGGGGACCACCCTCAGCTCCTGCCTAGGACCCCAGGCCTTGATCTCTTGCCTGCTTCTGGGAGGAGGGTGTTTTTCCACACTTCTAACATGCCATCTATGCAGCCTTTTGGTTTAGAGGTTCATTGTATGCCAGAATCAAGGTGAAGGGCCTCAAAGTTATTGAATTCTGACGTATGGGGAATAAATACATTCTCTATATGTAAAGTATAATGCCAATAAACTTCTATTTTAGCCAATGAAAAAAGAATGGAAGATACACACATGATTTGCTACTTTGTTGATCTGTGGCAGTGGTTTATACTTGAGGTTTGGTCTTTGGGACCAGAAGATAGGTATTGATCCTCGAGTCTAAAAGAAAAGACAGAAATGTGAAAAGAAACACACACAAACTTATTTTTCTCAACTTACTTATTGTCAGAAGTATGTATATTAATGACCTTGCAAAGGAAAAAAATAATAAAACCAACCATGAAAGACGTCCACATGCACTTGCTCCTAAAGTTCACATTTTATGGGAATATACTTAGAAAGAACTTCTCCTTTCAATTTTATATACATGGCACTTGTTTAGTAGACAGTACTATATTTATCCGATATCCTAAAACAAATCAACTTATCTTTGAGTAAAAATTAACAAGTTATGTCTGCTATATAATTATGAAAAACTTAGAAAATTGTTTTGTTCATTCTCAAATGAATATGTTTAGCCACTAATGCTCTGTAGCAGCAAGTGATCCACAACTCCATAAGGATGCAACAAAAGAGAGGTGTTATCTCACTGTAAAGTGCAAGGCAGGTAAAGTCAATCATAAGCCATTAGTTTGTCCTATCACTGCCCTGAATAAATCTACAGAATTAAATAGATAGATGGCTCCATTTCCATAACTCTCATACCTCCCAACTTACTTTCTCCTTTTGGGATTTAATTTAAGGATGGGATATGTCAGCAGGTCAGTGCCAGATTAATGGGCTACCCTTTTTTGGAGGTGCATTTTTCCATACTAAAGATAAAGATGTTAGTTAAGAAAGGAGGGGAAGGGAGGGAAGGGAAATTTCAATAACATGATAGAAAATTATGTTCTAAGCACAAAAGGCCAAGTGGCTGGCGATCTAAAAGACATATTAACTTGCCTGTACAAATGAAGCCTTGCTCCCATTGTAGTGTACAATTTGTTCTGTTTCTACAAAGTTAGCTGCATGGCCTTCAGAATCAATTCCTAAATTGAAAAAAATTAAAAGTTTTTATTTTTAGTATTTATTACATAAGAAAAACAACAGAAACTCA